TGAACCGCACAGCTCGTGACAGTCAAAGAAATTCAAGAGAGATCTTTCAAGCTCGAGACTTTAGAGAATTTTCCGGGAAAACAAACAAGAAAAAGGAAGAAATTTCGTGATGGGTTAACTTGTAGGACGTCTCTTCCGTGGGGGTTTTTTGGTTACGAGAGGAAGACGAAGTCCGTAGCAAGGAACATCGGCTTGTTAGGGCTTTCCACCTTTTCCCCCTGGTTGTTTCCAGAACCGGACAGGCCGGCCCGTCGGACGTCGTGTCGTTTTTTCAGTCAGATTTTGAACACCGTGTCGTTTATACTCGACAAATTCTGAATTTTATTCACCGAATACTAAAAGGGTCTTTTCCACTGCAAATCAAAGAAACAGAGTCCCAACAACAACAAGCCAACAAAAACCAAAAAGGACATAAAGACAAAGAAAAGAACACAGCACAACACTTAGTAATTCTCTGTTCACTTCTTGGGGGGCTCAGTAGCAGCAGTAGTAGTGGTAGTGGTAGAAGTACGTTCATGGCCGGCTTCTTCCGTACCACCCATACCGAAAGTGTGCTTGACCGCATCGGCCGCACCCTGAGCCATCTGCTTCACGTGCTCTCCGGTTTGGCTCAGGAACCCTCCGGTTTTCTCCTTACCGGCCTCGGCCGTTTCCTTCGTGAACCGGGCCGCGTCCTCTGCCTTGTGCTTGATCGCGTCTCCGGTCTCCGACATGTAGCTCCCGGTCCTCTCTTTCGACTCGTGGGCCTTCTCCTCGGCTGATTGGGCCGCTTCTGAGGTCTTCTCTTTTGTTTTCTGGGCCGTATCATGGGCCTGACCTTGGGCCGATTGAGCCGCTTGAGATGTCTTCTCTTTTGCTGTTTGGGCCGCATCGTGAGTTTTCTCCTTCGCTGCCTCGGCCTTATCCTTCATCGCTCCCATCTTCTGCTCAGTTTTCTCCTGTGGGGCCCAATTCCAATCACAGCACTGAGTATTTTTCATTTTGTTTTTGTAGAATATATGAACCAGATGATATTCTTATATTGATTTACAGCCAACCAAATTCGGACAGAAAGATCACAGATTTCTTATATACGTGCAAATCTCTGTATATATAACACCTACAGTACGCATGGACGTATTTACTCACTAGTCTGTGTTTGTGTATATATACACATACAGTATTGAGTAAATACATGTATACGCATACGTATAAATAAATAGAGACATGCGGGTATTTGGAGGGGTACTTACCTCGGCCTTGCCTTTGGTTTCACCAGCGCTGTAACTCTGTTCATGGGACGCCATTTTTTAAAACAGTTTTAGCAGATTCACTATTTTTCAGACAAATCAAAGAAGAAAATAAAGTCTGTTTGGAAGTGTTCTTGCTGTCTGGAAAGTGGAAACTACACGAATCGGTGGATAGATGTGTTGCGGCGTCGAGCATTTTTGTAGCACGACTTGGTAGGAGCGGGAACTAACACGTGTTACATCTGTTGACACGTGTCCCTACACGTGGTGTGCTGCTGTTC